ATCCAGCCGTGAAGACTTGCCTGACCTGCGAGGCCTCCCTGTGCCAAGCCCACCTGAGCAAGCACAGCACAAAGAACACCCAGAAGAACCACGTCCTGGTGGAGCCCTGTGGTGCCCAGGCTTTGGCTGAGAGGAAATGCCCCCAGCACGGCAAATTGCTGGAATGCTACTGTGAGACGGACAAGGTCTGCATCTGCATGCTGTGCTCTGTCCTCATCTCCCACAGGGAGCACAAGATCATCAGTTTGGAGGAGGCTTTTGGCCAAGCACAGGTAAGAGGCTGCCGGGACAGCGGCTCGGGCATGGATTGCACTAGGAAAACCACGGGGGGCTGCGGCACGGAGAGCTGCCCTCCCGAGTTTCAGAACTGCAGACCCAGCATGGGGTTAAATTCCCATCTTGGGTTTTTATTCTCAGTTTAGTCCCAGGTTCCCTCTGGGCTTGCCCCCGGGATGTAAAATGAGATGTTGTAAACACTTTCTTCCCATCCTGAGGGGAGACTTTGGGCAAACTGGTGGGACCAAGTGCTCGTGGCTTTGGTACACTTCCAAGCCAAAGATCAGCCTGAGCCGCAGTTATGCAAAGAAAATTAATGAGAGAGTAACAGAAAGGAAGCTGCCAGCAGCAGAAGTAGCTTTATGTGTGGCTATTATACATGAACAGTTTTCAGTTTCAAATTGTTGTTCTTGTGCTAGTAATTGAGGCATTTGTTCAGGGATAAAATCTTGCAGTAAACCTTTCTGTATTGATTTGTCCTGAGAGCATGTAGTGAGCAAACCTTTGGCAAGTCTAGCTTAGCCCACGTCTATAAAATTGCTGGTTTCATGCATGTATGTGAGTCCTATCCTGATATCTCCCACTGGTTATATTTGTAGCGTGTTTTTCCCGAAACTCTAAAAGAGGTGAAAAACTACGAAGCTGCACTGGATCGAAACATAGCAAACCTGCTGGAAAAAGCGGAGGAAGTAAAGGTTTGTTCCAAGACCCATATCACTTTGGGGATGGTTGCATGCTGGTAACTGATGAGATAAGGTTTTCTTTTGCCCTTTCCCAGATCATGGATTCTGAAGCTTTTTTTAGATCCTGGGCGGTTTCTAGTGTATTTTTGAGGTTTCTTCTTTGAGGGAGGATGATGAACAACTTTCTTATCAGTCTGGGAGGTACATTCTTAGTTAAGCTTGAAAGTTGTTGTTAAATCCGTGCCTCCTGATGAGTGATTGGGGTGTGGCTTTTTTATTTTTCCAACCTTATTCAATTTTTAGTTACTTCTCTCATCCCAGAAAAGAACAGGCCCTTTTCTGAGTGAGAGCTCGTGTGAAAAATGTCCCTACACAGCCCCTTACAGCTTTGAAAGTGTTTTCTTAATAGGTTAAGGAGGGTCTGCAGTGGCAACGGCTGGAGAGCCTATTCAAAGAGATCAGTTTGCAGCTAGAGAAAAAAAAAAGTGAGATCCTGAAAACTCTCAGTGACTATGAGAACCAACAAATTTCTCGGATTCATATGGAGTTAAAGAACCACAGAGAGCAGAAGCATTCAGCCAGCCATGATCTTCAGGAGCTGGAGGCTCTGACAAATCAGAAAGATACACTTCTTTTCACCAGGGTACCTAACAGCATCCCCCTTCCCAGAGATACACAGCTCTTGGGCTGGCCTGTGCCGGTGCTATGCTAATTCTACTTTCAAAATGTCTTTACAGGCTTTTACAGCAATTCAGGCCAGGTAAGATCGTCCCAAGGTTTAATATTTTTCCTGATGATCTGGACGAGGGGATCGTGTGCACTCTCAGTAAGTTGGGGGGGAGTGTTGATCTGCTGGAGGGCATGAAGGCTCTGCAGAGGGATCTGGATGGGCTGGATCGACGGGCCGAGGACAACTGCATGAGGTTCAATAAGGCAAAACGCCACGTCCTGCACGAGGGTCACAACAACCCCAGCTACAGGCAGGGGAAAGAGTGGCTGGAAAGCTGCCTGGTGGGAAAGGACCTGGGGGTGCTGGTCAGCAGTGGCTGAACATGAGCCAGCGTGTGCCCAGGTGGACAAGAAGCCAATGGAATCCTGGCCTGTACCAAAAATAGTGTGGCCATGAGGCCCAGGGAAGTGATTGTCCTTCTGCACTGGGCACTGGTGAGGCCACACCTCGAGTGCTGTGTCCACTTCTGGGCCCCTCATGGATAGAAAGACATTGAGGGACTGGAGTGTGTCCAGAGAAGGACAACAGATTTGGGGAAGGGTCTGGAGAGTCAGTCATGTGAGGAGGGGCTGAGGGAGCTGGAGGGGCTCAGCCTGGAGAAAAGGAGACTCAGGGAGGACCTTCTCACTCTCTCCAACTCCCTGACAGGAGTGTGGAGCCAGGTGGGAGTTGGGCTCTGCTCCCGGGGAACAAGGGACAGGATGAGAGGACATAGTGTCACGCTGTGCCAGGGGAGATTGAGTTGGACATTAGGAGGAATTTCTTCACAGAAAGGGTGATTAAACATTGGAAGGGGCTGCCCAGGGAGGTGGTGGAGTCACCATCCCTGGAGATGTTCAAGGAACAACTGGACTTGAGACTCAGTGCTCTGGTCTGGTTGACAAGGTGGGAATGGGTCAGAGGTTGGACTTGATGATCTCAGAGATCTTTTCCAACCTTAATGATTCTACGGTTCTATGATTCTTTCTGCATGTATTAGGGAACGCAAGCCAGTTCCTATTACGGATGTTGTGAAACTGCCAAGCCCACCTATTGCTTTGGATGAATCAAAAACACGCAATATTCTGTGCCTTTTCCAGCAATTCCTTTCAAAGATGGAGTCTTCATTTAAACCACCACCTGGTAAGTGATCATTTCACTATAGCAAAAGCAAGATGGAAAAGTCAACAATCACTTTAAGACAGGGTTGTAATACAAGACACCAAGTACATGAAGTACCCCTAGAAGTGTTGATTCCTAACTTTGTATGCTTATTTGCATACAAATGTAAATGTGTGTACAGAAAGGGAAACTTGTCCTGGGTTTCAGTGTTTTGGGGCATGCTTTGGATACACCCTGTTAAAACAGGCTCTGGGCAAAGAGGTGTGGAATTTCTAGGAGTTTTTCATGAGGATTAAGAGAAGATAATAGCAACTCCTCCCCTGTCTGTGGCATGCCTTTGATTCAAGGGGAAAGTTGAGAACTCATCACAGCAGCAGCAGGTGGAGTTTGTTTACAACATAAATACTCTGCTCTTTCTGTGCAAATAATTCTGCTTTTTGGTAATGCTTTGTATGCTCAACCTACAATCCCAGAGCTGTACATGGTGGGGCATTTGTCCAACTGAATCGAAAAAATCAGGGTTCCCTTGTTACTGCTGTCTTGATGGTGCTTCAGCCCTCACTGACAATGAGAGTGAGCCGTGGGTCAAGGCTGAGACAGCTGGAGTTGGAGCGTGTGTGACAGTGAGTGATGTGCACACCTAACTGGCCACCATCTGTACAGCCTTGGGTACACTAAGAAGCACACTGTGCTAAAACTGAAAGAGCAGCATTTCCCAAAATGTGCTGTCCACCACCTCAGAATTACATAGGAGCAGCTAAGAGAGTGCAGAAGGTGTTTCAGTTAACATATGTTTGGGGTGGGTTGGATTGGGAAGTCCAGCTTTCATCAGTGCACAATTATCTGTTAATCATAATGTGTTTTTTCTCTTTCTTTATGTTTTAAAGTCGTGCGGTTTTCAACTCCTCACAGCGGTACAGGTGGACCCCAGCATCCACATTACCCACCTAGTTTTTCCTCTGCCCCTGCCTTCTCTTTTGGCTGTAACTCCTTCCAAGGCAGCTCTTCAAATCCTGGTTTTTCCTCTGCCTCTGGCATCTTTGGCTCTAGCTCTTCAAATCCTGGTTTTTCCTCTGCCTCTGGCCTCTTTGGCTCTAGCTCTTCAAATCCTGCTTCTTCCTCTGCCACTGGCCTCTCTGGCTTTAGCTCTGGTGGGTTTGGCTTTAGCTCTGGTGGGTTTTTTTAGAAATTCTGAAAAATTTCTAAAACCTGTGGGTTGAGATAAGAGCAGTTTGATAACTGAAACAAAGCAAAATATAATAATAAAGATACTACTACTAATGATAACAGTAGTAGAAAGGAGCAAAGAGAGTGAAAAAAGCCAACTAAAACAAGTGATGCACAATAAAATTGCTCCCCACCTGCCCACTCCCAGCCAAAACCAGGACAGGACTCAAATATGTGCAGTGCTG